ATTCTCATGTGCGTGCAAGGTAGAACAGTAATGTTCTATAAACATTGCTTAATTGGGCTTTCCTCCAAGTGTTATCTATGTACATGTATATTTCATTTGTATATTTTTCTTTGTAAAATATTTTGTATCTGATTTCGGAAACAGCAACAAAGTTTACCAAATATCAGGATTGTTTTATTCCATTTATAGGGCAGTACAAAATAACATTCTATCATACCGACAGTTTTATCCATTTTTGTTCGCTCGCTAATAAAAGCTTGGAAAAAAATGTGCTCATACGTGTGGACATGGCATTTGACGAGTGCACTTGTTGCGGGACTTATTGCAAAATGAATGTTCATGCGATGAATATGGGATTGGGGTGACGCCACACTTTCTATTTCTTGAAATGGTGCCGTGACTAAAAGAGGTTGAAAAACGCTGCCTTAGATCACCGAGCAAAGCAAAATGTAGAGCATGATACACATCATCACTCTAAAGACTGAAATGTTAAATGTCAATTTGAAAGGGCCGAGGAGTGACCACTCTTTCAAAATGTCAGATTGTTCCTTTTAACCTGCTAGATTCAACCTTTATAGTGTTGGATCCAGCATGTTTAAAGTGTTAATCTACCATTTTGAAAGATTGGTCACTCCTCGGCCCTTTTAAATGGTGATTTAACTTCAGTTTTTACTATGCAAAGCATCTTCAATTTGACACAAAGTTTTAAAATTAATAAAGCGCAATATTGAAAGCTATGATGATTGAGAATCAAAATTAACGTTTCTAAAACCGGGTTCATTTTATCGCAATATGCAGTTATAATCACGTAGGTCAACAACTAGAACGGAAAGAGTAAAAAATATTCCTTGCAAAAGGACTGCGATGGAAAAATAGTAAGCTCTTGGGCAGGGGCGGATCTAGCTTTTTGCTCAGGGGGGGGGGGTTGACCAATAATGACGATGCGGAGCATCGTCCACGAGCCGCGAAGCGGCGAGCCGATTTTTTGGGGGTGTTTATTTGAACCCCGTAAGTGATGTTTTCCTGGCATCTATTAACACAATGGAGACCATAAAAAGCAGTGCATGATAACGTCTTTTTAAATCAAGTAACAGTTAAATACACAGTTATATCCAGAGTTATCATGTGTTTGGTTAAGTTACCAGATGAGTTGAATATCTTCTCACAATATTTGCACTTGAAAGGGTTTCTCTCCAGCGTGCGTTCTTTTTTCTTTCTTTTTTTCTTTTTTTTTTTTCTTTTTTTTTCCTTTTTTTTTTTTTTTTTTTTTTAATGTGGGGATTTTGGGGATGAGAATCGGCAACGCTGGCCTAGCTTGTCACTTCGGCGGTGGCCCGTGTCCTCAAAAAAGCTGATGGGGGGGGGGGGGGGGCAAGGGACTCTGTGACATTTGTTCGCCCAACCCCCCCCCCTCCCCCCAAAAAGAAATAATAATAATAATAATAATAATAATAATAATAATAATAATAATAAATGAAATAAATACATAGAAATAGAATAAAATAAAATTACAAGTTTTAAAAAAAGATAAGATTTAAAAAAATGGTCCCCAGATTTTTTTTTTTTTTTTTTTTTTTGGGGGGGGGGGGTTGCAACCCCCCCCCCAACCCCCCCCCCCCCTCTAGATCCGCTTCTGTTGGGGCAATTAATTATTTCTATTTTACACTTGGGGAGAGGGCATTTCGCAAGCGAATGGCGAATTGAAAAGACAAGAGAAGGAGATAAAGTAAGAGAGAGAGAGAGAGAGAGTGTGTGAGAGAGAGAGAGAGAGAGAGAGAGAGAGAGAGAGAGAGAGAGAGAGAGAGAGAGAGAAAGAAAAGGAGCCAGGGGAAATGGGGGGGGGGGGGGGGGGGGGGGGGAGGTAGAGAGACGAAAGGCAAAGATCCCTACCACCACCACCGCCATACTATCATACCAGTCTGTGCCCTCTCTGTAGCCAGAACCATACGCCATTTAATTGTTTCATGTCATCATCTATAAAAATATTATCTATCATCCCAAAGAGGAAAGAGTTCAAGTTGTATTTTCTCATTAGCGTGACACTAACTGTGACCATTTCTGTTCAAGGCTTTCCAACGGCAGGAGCATCACACCCCCGAGGCCCGGCGAGGACAATATTGATTTATCCATTCACCTGTAATTGAAGCGTCGTTGATATACTGCTGTGACGGTCATTGGCGGGGGATGGATCAGACGGGAAACGATCGTTGTTTGTGTCATATCAAGGCTCAATAGATTATCTAGCACGTATAACGACTTACGTGCAGACAACATGTATATGACTTTGAATTTGAATTTGTACATAACGCGTAATCATTGGTGTAGTATTGCCTGGGGTACGTTGCAGGGGGCATACGGGTGATCGGGTGGGGGCAATGAGGTTATACGGTCACGAAATTGAACGGTGAAAGAGAGCGAGAGAGAGAGAGAGAGAGAGAGAGAGAGAGAGAGAGAGAGAGAGAGAGAGAGAGAGAGAGAGAGAGAGAGAAACAGGAGAAGGAGTCGGGGTTTGGGGGGGGGGGGAGGGTAGAGTGAGAAGAAGAAAAACAGTCGGATACAAGTCATTGCTCAGTCTCTTTTTTTGGGGGGGGGGGGCCGGGGGTGTCATGATTGTGTTCCCTCCGTGCTTTATGAGCGATGTCCATCTATGGTAAAAAACTGATTGAACTGTTCTAACACCAAGATTGAAAAAGAAAAAGTTAATCAACAACAGTAACAATAACATCAACAAAATCCCTACAATTAGGCCTACAATATGAAAGATTCGCTTTCTTATCGGTTTATTGCGTCTCTTAGCTTTTTAAGTTCTGTCGTCTGATGGCGCTGTTTAACAATATTGAGAACAGACATCAGGTTGACGGTCATGAGATTGAACATGGTAAAACAGAGGATATATAACAGAGGTATATGTAACTTTCTGAAATACTACTTGTTATATCAGTTTGATTTAAATTTCCTCCCTAATAATGCATACTTTGCTGAAACTTTGGAAATCTCTTTAAAGGGGAAGTCCATCCTGATACTAATTTGGTTTTTAAAAAAAATGAAAAATGAGAAAAACAGGTAAGTGAAAGTTTAAACTCTGAAATTTCTCACCTCTCTTTCTCTCTCTCACTCACTCTCTCTCTCTCTCTCTGGAAATTTTCTAAATAACCAAGGACCTACTTTTTCTATGTAAATAGAGGACATACATAAACGTATCCCCATTTAATAATGGCTTCAAACATAACAATTTCACAGGGTTCTCAAACTGAAGATATCGGATATCCTCGTTTTGCGAGTGGCAGGCGCGTAGCCAGGGGGGGGCGGTGGGGGCGGTCGCCCCCCCAAACGCCGGCCAAAAAAAAAAGAGAGAGAAAGAGAAGAAAAAAAAGAAAGAGGACGTAGGAAGAAAAAGGGAAAAGGAGTCGAGAACGGTACAATGAATCGTCAAAGCTTCCGCGCTTCGCGCGGGAAGGGGGAAACTGAGTGCAAATTAAGAAATATCAGTCGGGAAAGGTACAACGAATCGTCTTCTTTCTCTAATAATTTAATGAAACGTCAAAGCTTCGCGCGAGAGGGGGGGGGGAACAGAATTCAGACAAGGATTAAGAGTCGAGAAAGGTACAACGAATCGTCTTCTTTCTCTAATAAGTTAATGAAACGTCAAAGCTTCGCGCGAGAGGGGGGGGGGAACAGAATTCAGACAAGGATTAAGAGTCGAGAAAGGTACAACGAATCGTCTTCTTTCTCTAATAATTTAATGAAACGTCAAAGCTTCGCGTGAGAGAGGGGAGGGACTGAATACAGATAAGGATTAAGAGTCGAGAGAGGTACAACGAATCGTCTTCTTTCTCTAATAATTTAATGAAACGTCAAAGCTTCGCGCGAGAGAGGGGAGGGACTGAATTCAGACAAGGATTATGAGTCGAGAAAGGTACAACGAATCGTCTTCTTTCAAAGCTTCCGCGCTTCGCGCGGGAGGGGGGAAACTCCCCCTCCCTGCACCCACCCCCTTAGGGAGCGCGCTTTGCGCGCTCTTTAAGTGATTCGCACGCTTTGCGTGCTCACTACCGCCCCCCCTAAAATGAAATCCTGGCTACGCGCTTGGCGAGTGGTTGCCAAAAGTGAAGTCACAAATTCTTACAAGTGTCCTTGCCCCCCCCCCCCCACCCACACCTTCTTAACTATTCTACCTCTCTCCTCATCCCCATCTTTCTCTACCAAATCACCACTCCTATACCGATTCTCCCTTCCTCCGCTGTTTGCTCTTTCCCCTTCATTCCCATTTCTCTGCTTCTTTCAAACAGCCAAAAGGAACCAAAGACCACAGCCTTGAACAAAAAAAGTGTCTGAATGACAACAATTTTAATCCTCATAATTTTAGACATTCAAAAATAATTCCATTTCTACAACGTCTGTTAATGCCAAGTAAATACAATCACATACATACAATTCATATTCATATTTTTCAAATGCATTATCGTATTTATTACAAAAATAATCAACATTATGAATGTTCAAGGGGAAAAAGAAACTGATATTAAGTTCGTTCTGATAAAAACAGAAAAATGAAAGGAACCAGTCAGTGAAAGTCCAATTAATCCAATTAAAAAGAAGACAAATTGAAGTTGTGATTAATCCAGCACAAATTGGCAACTCTGTGATATATCTTGCAAAGTCCCTTCCCATTTGCCCTGTACTAAAAATAAATAATAAAAAATTACTATTTTTAAATTTAAATCATTCATGCACCCTAAATATATTTATTAAAAATATGTTTTTATACAACCCCTGTATGAAACAAATCTATTCTGTTATCAATAACCAAGAGAATTAAAGCTTATGAAATTTTCTGTATATATAATGAGCAAATTGGAGAGGACCTTGCAAGAAACCTCAGTGTTGCCAATTTTTTGTTTTACTAAAGACAACTTCAAAAATTCAGAACTTTCTAATTTTTAATCGAATTTGGCTCCAACTTTCAATAATTAGTTTCTTGTTTTTTCTGCTTTTTTAAAATTAATTCCAGATAATTATCAGGGTGGACTGCCTCTATAATACCATTTTCATTATCTGTATTTCATCAACTTACTCATAAATACTATTACAGTCAAACACGCTCATTCTTATTTGCCTTTATTATTCCTCTGTAAAACTCCTTTGCTATTTAATAACTGATAAATCATGTCATCAAAATTGCCTATAAATCCTACCCGTCAAATATCAATATATCTTTTATTTACATATGTAAATCAAATACATGTACAACAATCAATGATATCACAACTTACGCTTCATTTCCTAGTAATCATTTCAATTACCATTACTCATTAACATGGTGTAATGATAAACATGCATATCATACCATTATTTTTCACATGTTTACTACAATACCTGTTAATACCTTTAAAAAAGTATTACAACTAAAATAATGATGTGAAGCTGCATATATAAACTACAAAAACCAGGATCATGATGTCATTCGTATTATTGTTCCTGAGTTGCATTGAATTAGCATGAAGTATTATGTAGAAGCACATTGTATTATAATATGGTATATCACTCTAAAATTAAACTTATTTTCTGAAGTCTCTTTATTTGATTTCAAGGCTAAAATGGAAGAGCAAATTATTTACCTTTTGGAAGTAAAGGTATCTCCTTAATGGTTTAAAAGAAAACAAAGAAACAAAAAAGACAATCAGTGAGAGGTCCACGGGAGCCTGATATAAACAAAAGCTCTAGTAGATTGCTCAAATATGGATTAAAAACAAATTTTAAGAAAAAAAATTCACCCCTAAGAAAGAGTCTTTTGTTTCTGTAGGAAATCTTGAAAACCCATTAATATCAATTCAGAATGAAGACCTGCACACACAGCAAGATGAAAATATTGCGAGTAATTTTGCTGATAACACTCATAACATCATTGATGATGCATCTTATAATATTTGCAAACTTTAAGTTGAACTCTATTCCATTCTAGATTACATATGAATACAAACATGTAATGATGGGCAATGCTTGTAAAGCAGACATGATGCAACATCTCTCAGAGTTTGTGAATTTTGATCATACAAGTGTGACTGAAATTAAAATAGGACTAGAAAATATGAATATGTCCATCAGATGGGCTCACAAGTTCTTACAATATTTTCACTTTGGAGATGCACACTGATTCAAAGATAAATGAACAATGATATAACTAGATTCATACAGCGTATACTGGTAGGCACACATGCATTTGACACAGGCAGTGTATGCTCAGAAACAGCGTGTTTCTACTGGATATATAATGCTGTAGTCTTCTGTCTACTTTCATTATTGAACAGTGATCATAATGACGGTCTGATGACTTATAGTCTACAAGCAAAATTTGGTTCATGATTTCATAATTATTCACAGCCTCTAAATAATAATGGTCTGATGACTGCTAGTCTACGAGCAAAACTTGGTACATGATTTCATAGTTATTCACAGCCTCTAACTAATAATGGTTTGATGACTGCTAGTCTACAAGCAATATTTGATACATGATTTCATAACTTCAAACTGCTCTTGTGGTAAGCTTAGGACAAAAAGAAGAAAAAAAAGTTAAAGTTAGGTATTAAGCTAATGACCCTTCTAGAAAGGTTCATTGATAGGGTTTAGAGTAGGCTATCCTTGAAGAGCTGGACCTGAATGAAGTCAGTCCAGGTCCTGAGTGAACCGAGACTTGATCCTATTGGAGTGAGTTCTGGTTCTGAGTGGAAGTCTTGGTCCTTAGTGAGATGTGTCCTGGTCCAGGATGAAGTAAGCCCATTTTTAAATTGATGAGTCATGGTTCTTGATAAGACCGAGTCCTGGTCCAAACTGATTGAAGACCTGACCCTGAATGGAGTGAGTTCTAGGCCAAGTGGAAGTCATAGTCCTGAATACAGTCAGTCGCGCTCCTAAATGAATTGGATCCTAGTCTTCAATAGAGATATGGTCCTAAATAGAGTGAGTCCTGGTTCATAATGAATCAAGACCTGATCCTGAATGGAGTGAGCCATATTCCTAAATGTGATGGGTTATAGTCCTGAAACTAAACACCAGGCCTGAATTGAGTAAGACTTGGTCCTAGACAGTTGGAGACCAGTTAACAGCAGCCCGGAGCCGCATCAGCGCAGCCTAGGTACACATAGGGATCCACTGGGCAATCCTTGGCGATCTGAAAAAAAAAAAAAAAAAAAAAACAAACAATCAAACTCTAAGAAACATTCACTTATTCCTGCATCTCCCCCTTTAAACCATTGCTTACTTGAACAGGGTTGCACCTGTATAAAGTGTATGGGAATAAGAGAACTTGGCAGTCAATGGATTAATCTCTTTTCAACCATCTTCAACCAATAAATGACATTCGTGTTTGGCATAAAAAGACACGTCTGAATAGCAAAGAGTAAAATAGTTGATGATGTCCGTGAATAAAAAGTTTTTATTCGACATAACTATGTGAAAGACAGTTTCAGTAATATTAAGTCCAATAAAGGTATTACATTACATGTGTATTTATAAGCTCCACAACTTGAAAATACCTCGGTTTCGCCACTCTTTGCACCATCTCCAATTGTGAAGACTTTGCTATATCTTGACTTCCTCATGATCTCTGCTAATTCTGCATCTACCTTGACAGGAACGTTAGCCTGTTGGAAGACACACAATAAAATGATCAAGGATGGCATTTATATAGCTTACATACATGTATCTATAAATACTTTCAGATATATTTCTGAATCACAAAGTGTTGACATTCCATTGCATTCATAAAACAATTTTGTAGAGAATTTGAATAATAAGTAGCAGTCAGTCTAAAGGAAATTTACATGAAACTTGTATAAAGAAACATTGTATTTATAACTATAAAGAAACGTTGTATAAACTATAAATAAACGTTTTATAAACTATAAATAAACGTTTTATAAACTATAAATAAACGTTTTATAAACTATAAATAAACGTTTTATAAACTATAAATAAACGTTTTATTAACTATAAATAAACGTTGAATAAAGAAACGTATAAAGAAACGTTGTATAAAGTAAGGTTGTATAAGATTTATCAGAAAGCGAAAGGTGCATAGAGACTGGGAAACAACCATGATGACATCAAGAAACGTCCTATAAAGAAACTAATTTGAAGAGGTCAGAGCACTCTCACCACAAGCCCTATTCAGACAAATGTGGGACCTTGATTCTTCATTGAGTTATTGTTCAAAAGGTTGCTCAATCATTTGTTTCGTTATACGACATTTCATTACATGACGTAACTTTTATTTTAACATGACATACAGTCTGGGAAAAAGGTAATAACTTAGCCATACAATGAATTCAGGTAGTCTGAATGCTGGGAAGGAAACATAACCAGGGGAGTGTTTCACAAAGATCCTAAGTTGAACTTAACTCTAAGTTCGACTTAACAATTATGGAAAGCTGTTAGCATCCTTGAAAATATTTTGTAAAAGTTATTTTAAAAGGCATAAAATGTTGATTCAAATCATTCATATTTTCTATTATCATGGGAGATTAATGTTCTTTATGTGGAATTTATAAAAAGTCTAAAATACTTGAATTTTCATTATTGAATATATTTTATTTTAAGGCTACAAATGGCTCTCCATAATTTTTAAGTCCAACTTAGAGTTAAGTTTGACTTAGAATCTTTGTGAAACACCCCCTGAAAGCTATTCAATTTACCTTGAAGGTGTTCTCTATGTCAAAGGGAAGCTCGGTCTCATATTCGGCGAGTGTTCCGTTGTATGTCACCACCGCAGGGTTCTTACAGTCATCCTTGGACAGCTTGAACAGTCTGTACGTTACTGACATGAAAACAATGTCTCCTGCAGATGCAGAAAAAAGAAAATGATGCATTAATCCAACGACAACTATCAGAATTTTCTTATTCCTCTACATACAGCTCAATACACAAAATATCCAGTTCCGTTAGGCAATTATCGCAAATGAGATGAATTTGGTGGGAAAGGAACAGAGTATACTGTTGTATCCAACCACCACTGAATTTTGACAAGTATAAACCTTGGACACCTTAAACAGTTTGCAATAATGTCTCCTGCAAAAAGAGAGATATAGTCGACCCACTGACTTCTGAATTCAATCACTACCCTCAGAGCATAAATGGGTAAAGGCCAATTCAATTTTTTTTTTTTTTTTTTTTTTTTTGGGGGGGGGGGGGGGAACAGTCTGTATGTTACTGTCATTAAGACAAATAGAGAAATCTATGGTTCATAATATTAGTTTAAAGTCTACAAAACAGGAATCATTTCTTCCAAGATAGGACTAAGACCTTGAGGATGACTTTGACAATTAAATCTATAATTGTGTGTATGACAACTTCATAATTTTACAAACAGAGGCTCCGGTGTAAACCATTCATACCTGTGACTTCCAGTAGCTTCTTATCCTCAACTTTGACCTTCCGTGCTGTTACAACACGAGGTTTGGTAAACCCTATCTCCTCAGCGTACTTCTCCAAATCTGTCCAACAGAGGGCGCCAGCCAGACATTCACCTACAGGAAAGAGAAAATGCATTTGAGATTCAAGACATTAATCTACATTTGCCACTCTCCATTCAGGTGAAGTAAATGGGTACCCTGTAGGAACAAATGCTTTAGCGCCTTATCATCCTAGCTCAGCAACAGCCGGGGTAATAATGTGACACACAGGGCCTCCATTTAACATCCTATCTAAGGGATGTCTGGCCTTTTCTTCATAGAAATCCTTTTGCCCCCAATCACAACCCTTTGTAAAATCTAAAGTTGGTACGTAACATATTTTGTTAAATATCATTTTTGAAATAAAGACATACAACAAAATGAGACCTCTGCACCATTATTACAGACTATCACTATAAAATGAAATAAAGTGCACCTCATCACTATCATTTATCAAACCAACAGCAAATCAAAACGTGTTTCATCATTTAACCACCCCTTTAAGGTCCCTTCCAGCTCATAAGCTACCGTTGCACAATTAATTTGGAAACATAGCTCCTGGTCATACAATCATATCTCATACACGCACACGACCTTTGAACTTTTAACATTATCAAGGCACTGAGGGCATGTACAACCGGGTTTGGATGTAAACAAAACTGGCTATATTTAGCTCCTTTATAATCCCTGTCATAGGCGCATGATTAGAATGACACTGCAAGCCCCTTCGTAACTCATATATGGGAGAGTGCATACATGCATGTATGAAAATCAATCATGCCAACATTGTGATTTTTTTCTAAAGCAATGGATGCTCCCATTATAGTATGTGTCTATCATATATCAAGACTCAAATGACCTTAATATATCAAATTAAATTGCTTAATTTTGGAAAATAAATATCATTAATATATTATGTATTATTGTGAAACTCATTCTGTGAACAAATATGATAAGATTTTCTCACTACTAAACTGAAAAATACAAACATCTACAAGCACAGAAAATATCATATTTTGCATATTTAAACTAATATTTGCTCCATATTTCTTTTATGAAAGATCCATGTATAGGATTAGGGCTGCACATGGGTTTTTAGGTTAAGTATAATTATGTTTATGGTTTTACTGTTTGGTCAATGAATTTATTTGTGTAGTAAGAGCATAGGCAGTAGCCTTTACACTGTATGATACAACTGTGAAACACACACAAAAATAATCATATTTTATCATTAAAGGATTCTGATGGCTAATTTTTTTTGTTAAATAAGTGCATTTTTCAAAAGTTTTACCTGATAAACTTTTTTGCAAATATTATGTACATGTTTTGTCTAAGCATTCTTAATTGTAATGTGTCTTTCTATACTCTTACTCTTATTGTGACTGAGTCATTTAAATGATGTTATGGTTATTTGTATCTTTAACGCAAAGTAAAATAAAATTGACATTGAATTAAAGGTAATACAAAGTTTTGGTAAATTATGAAAATTGGGTGGATAGTGATTCCTTACAATTTTGATATATATTTGGATGCCCCTGTGGATTTATTATAAGCACTAAAAAAAGTAGCCCATGAAACACTTCTGCTTTCGAGATAAATTGAATATCAAAATTTACCGGTGCTCCCGGTAATTTTGATAAATTTCAAATAGCGCCTACGGCCATACAATGATAGCTGCGACCATGAAAATTTCAAAATATGCAGTTGTGATATATAATTTCCAAACGGAAATAGCCAATTGGTCGATTTTGGGCAAGAAACATTGTTTTATAGCTAAATCAAAATCTTGACCTTGAGAGGGAGCTATACAGCATAAAGAGTTTATTATTTATAATTTCATCACTTTAGACTCAATTTCAACCGCGACAAGAAACACGGAATATTGTAGGATCACTTATGCTTCCAATATGTTTATTTGAACCAAATTCATGACCCCATACCAAAACTTTGTAATACCTTTAACAGAAGGAATACAATGACCTTTTCCCTTTGACCCCCATAGAAGTACTACTTACCCCACAATACTTTGTGTTTCCTGATGTGTTCTGGGATGTCCTGCTGGACGTAGATATCTGAGAAGTAGAACTCGCCGCCTTCTTTCAAGACCCGGTGAGCTTCACGGACCACCGACGGTTTGTCAGGGGAGAGGTTTATCACACAGTTGGACCTGTGAGTATCATCAAAATACAGTTTCTAAATTGGAACAGGACCCTGTCTTATAAAGAGTTGATATCAATCAAAACTTATGAAACACATAATTAATGTCCTTCTGGCTCTTAACAGACAAAACGTTGTACTACTAGAAACAAAGTAAAATTCTATTTTAAAAAAGAGAAACGTTTTCTTTCTGTCACATAGTTTTTTTATAGCTTGCTATCCAGCACAAGATGACTTTGTTTCAATGACATATCCTATGGGAGTCAAAAGTCTTTAATTTTATTACTACATGTACATATATTGTTAAAGAAAAATTACAAAGACATCAATGATGTCAAAAAAAGTAAAAGATTACTTACCCATCATATGCAATCAATTAGTGTACTTGTTTTCAATGAGGCTTCAAAATAACTATTTTTTTCAGGGTCCATGTTAAATTTTTTTTTGTCGTTGTTGTTGTTGGAGGGGGGGGGGGGGTTAAATTTGGGGGCCAATATGAACTGGGTTACTGGGACCTGTCAGTAATGAGCCCTGTTGAAATATATTAGAGTGTTTATCTAAAATACAGCTAAAGTGAAATTAACCCTTTTAAGACAATCATTCTTCATAGTGTTTGGCTCAATAACTTTTGATTTAGAGCCCTAATAATATGCCAGATGCATGAGAAGTAAAGGCTTATTTGTGTGCACATTCTGCATCCATTTTTATAACATGACTATATTGTATTTGATGCCAGGTATTCTAAAAAGGAAAATAAGCTTTAAATTCCTTAAATTGGCAACACATTGAGAGATTCAAAATAATTGTTTTTCAATCAAAATTGGCAATTTTTCAACCTTATTCACAACATTGTCGCCAATGTATTTTCTTTGTTTTCAGAGAGATTACATTTATTTTCTAAGGTAGCAATAAGAGAAAATATTATTGTTGCCAATTTGAAGGGAAAATGTGATCAATTTAGCCCTGAAGGTAAATCCTGTCCTTCACTGGGGTCCCAGAGCTATCATTCTTGTGTTCCTTGCTGTTATATCATGTACCATTGTTTAAGTTTGATTTGGTTTGAATAAACTTGAACTTGAACTTGAACTTGAACTTGAAAGGGTTAAAAGGGTGACATGACTTACACAACAATGTCATACTGGTTATCCTCCACGTGAGCATCTTTCAGGTTCTCAATGTAGCCCTTTCTGAACTCTACGTTAGGGGCGGGGTAGCCAAACTTCTCCTGGTGGTGGGTCACATACTTTCTGGCAAGCTCGAGCTGCAAGGTGCAAATCAAACGGAAAAATTGGAGAATTAAAAAAAAAGGACAGAGATGACAATGGTTAGATGATACTTTAGAGTCCTGCCACAAAGCAAAGAAAATGTTGATAATAACTGATAAATGGATGGAAATAATGATGATATACTTTTTGCTTTGTGAAAATCTTGCTGGATTTGCTGTGCTGCAGGTGAGACTTCATTGCAGTTTTTTAAAAGTATTTTCTTTGTGTTTTTATAGTTTTTACCTGAGCTTTTTTCATTTTCCCACAGCTCTTCCAAACCTCTCATCACTGTTATGAACCCTTTCCACTGATGATGTCAACTATTCTTTGAAAAATCCATTTTTTCAGGAGAAAATTTAATAATGATACATCCTGATAGAAGCATTGGGGATTAATAATGCAATGTGATAATATAATAACCATCAAACTCTAAGATAATCTACATTAAGTTTCTAAAATACAAAAAATACAATTATTTTTCAACAAAATATTTCTTCTTTCATTATTTAAATACAGGTACATGTACATAGAGCTTAGTTTGTGTAATTATTAAAATTCATCACAAAGTAGTGTGCTGTGAAAAGAAGTTGAAACGGCAAAATTTGGTAACAATGTTTACAAATTATATATATATATATATATTTATGCAGTCAAATATTTCAACATTATACCCTTCACCTATATCTTGCCATTATGTTGTTTATGCCATACACTCCATTGCTACGTTGTTGCAGTCCTCTTCTTTTCTCTTTCTCCAAGCTCTCTATCCTCTTCTCCTCCTTGCCTATCCCTTTCTCCCTTTCTTCTATTTATAATGTATATTATGTATTTGTGTATTCGAGCGTACCCATTATAAGCTCTGCTTATCGGGTTTCGCGCCTTCTTCCTTGTAATACAAGTTCTTTAATTATATTTATGTTCCTACGTTACGTATAAATTGTATTGTTTGAACAGATGTCTAATATGTTTGTCAAATTGAATGGAAGAAAATAAATGTTCATTTGAAGTGAAGAATCAAATTTGAAATTCCATTTTCCCCATAAGGACAACTAACCTGTTCATCTGTCATATCAACGCCTACGACAAATCCTTTAGGACCGACGAGCTTGCTGATTGCATAACAATCACGTCCAGTTCCGCTTCCCAAGTCAACGACCCTTGCATCCTCTATCAGGCTCGGAATAGTCAGACCGCATCCATAGTACCTGGGAGATAAAAAGTCAAGACAAAAAATTGAGAGAAAACAATATATCAGGTGTCCAGGTATAGTGGTTTATGCACTTGACCCTCAATCCAAGTGTGGAGGGTTCGAATCCCAGCCTGGTACTATACTGCCGTTTTGAAAGACATTAATCCACATTTGCCACTCTCCACTCGGGTGTACACGGGTACCAGCAATGGCAATGGCTGGAGCAAAAACAATTGGAGGGTCCACAGCAAGAGCAGTATTATAGGGCATTAGTGATGTGGCTACCCTCAGTAAATAAGATCTTTTAGGGAATTTAATCACCTAAATAAAAGAAATAGAAATAGATTTCTTTCCTACCTTGTCTCGTAGAAACACCTGTTGAGTACAGATACTTGGAACATATATTAAATCACAAGTAGTAGTTCAAATATTGCACATCACCCGTAGAAAGAATATGTAAGACCATGTACAAAGTAATGACGCTTCTTCGCGAATTAAGTAAAGAAGAAGAAACTTATAATCTCTATAAAGTAATAAGGCCTCTGAACCGAGTAGAGAAACAAGCGAAGAAATAGGACAAGAATTAAGATGAAGCTGAATTAGCTTTGCTGTTGATCGATCGACTCTCTAGAATAGGTGTGCTCTATATGAACAGCTCAGGAGAAGAAATCATGCAGAAACGTGTTGACTCAACTGAGATGTAAGCAGGAGTTGTTGACTCGACCGAGGTGTAAGCGGGAGTGGAGAAAACCTCGTGGTGATGAAAATACGTGGGGTGAACGATGCGCGGAACCACGATGCTCGATTGGAGGAATGAACACACGTGGTACGAATAATGAATATAAATAAATACCCTGATGGAAAAATACAGGAGACATAAATGTATGGTGAAAATAGGTCGAATGTAAGAGCCGCTACAATCTAATTAATCAGCAATTTGTTCATCAAATTGGAGTTAACTCGGCACTTTTGCGTACTTGGCAATAATTTCAGTGGTACAACTTAGAAATAGAATTGAAAACCACACAATGGACCTGTGAATTGCCAGAAGTATAATGTTTCTACAATTTCACTTGTTAAAGTTTTCAGCATTATCTTCCTGGCAACTATTTTACACACTATGATCAAGTAATCTTGAATTAGAAGCGTTCTGAAAGACAATTAATGTGAAAATTCACCATAATATTTGCGGCTGATAATCTAGCTTTACTTTCTGCCGAGAGTCGACTCTAGTGCCGAGTTAGGCCATATCAACTGATCAAATTCCAATAGATCGTACTCGTAGGCTTACAAAAGATGCGACAGAAAAAAGGTTGATGGCTGTTAAGTTTAGTCTCCTTCAACTGCAACATGCTTACATTTCATTTTTATAGCTTCTGTGTAATTATGTCTAAAACTAAAAGAGACTTTATTAAGGTCAGCCTTTGGGTTAATATTTTAAGTATAGACTCTAGATCTACCCGTTTTTACTAGTTTTAGTAGTTAAAATTAGACCTAGACTGTAGCCTAGGCCTAGATATTTGTTTTTTTGTTTAATTTTTAGCTTTTGCTGTTCCCCCCAAAACCCCAACATTATGATTATTTACTTTTCCTAATCCTATACTCTATAGAGAATAAATTATTACGGACACTTTTGTCTGCTCTGAGCTTAATCTTTTTTTTTAAAGGAACTTTGAGCTAAAAAGTAAATCAGATTTGCAATACGTACGTTGCGAGTATGTCATCGTGAACAGAGGAGATCGCCTGCCGAACGCTGAGCTTATCCTTCGCCGTGCTTGCCCCGAGCTGACAGGTATCCGTCAGTAGGTCGGTGGCAGTTTGAATCGTCTTCCCGTAGTATTCTTTTACGTCGTCGTGTACTGAATCCATATTGAATGTGATTAAAAGTAAATGTGAAATAATAGTGTCCTTAAAACAGCAGGTGTTTGTTGTACGTTGGGCGGTAGAATGTTGAGGTTAGACTAGCACTTTGTCTTTGACTTTGGCTTATATAGCTAAACATATGTACGGCGAAGTGCAGTGCAGACGCTAGACGTGTGACCTATTGCCGCTGTAGTAATAACAAAACGGTGCACGCATTTCGACTGCTTCGGAGTGATTGCCAATTGTGATACAGTATGTACCAATAAGAATGTAAACACAACTCACTCAAACCGTATGATGCACTGGAGCGTATTGTACGCGTTGTATTTGACAGAGAAAGGATACCAGTCTAGCTTATTCGGAAGGAGTTTCTAGATGCTTGTAGAAAGTACTAGAGAGGTAGTATGCTACCCAGTATTTGGAGGGGGAAGAGATCGAGCAAGGGGCAGTTGCCCCCTGAAAACTTTCCAAACAAGACACACAATTAACATCATTAATTTTAAATTCATTAAGTGAGGAAATCATTGCAATGTGAATAATCACTAAAGTTAAAATGTTAAAGAAAAACAATGCCAATGTTTTCAAAACATTATCACTCGTTATCTTGCTATTATGTTTGGTTTCATAGTAATAAACTATTAAAGGTAGAAGATATCTATCTCTTGCAGTTAGGCTCAATCATGTATGATTTTGAAAATGGTACTCTCCCAAATGCGTTAGTACAGCTATTTAGAAAGAACAGTCAAATTCACAGCTAATACAAGACCGTGCAACTGCACTCCATATATATATACCGCGTGTAATGCCTTTACTATTGATTCGTTCGTTCGTGTCTCCTTAGATCAAGATTACTGTAACCTTGATCTTCGGAGTAGTTGCTACAACCGGCCGTGTCAGACACGTTGCCCCAGGGTGCGAGATACTTGTAGCGTGCCCCCATTTAAAACAATTATACAGTTACAGTTAACAATACATTTAATTAATAGTATATGAAACTATTAAAAGTTACTCTCATGGGAAAAAATATTGCATATACATATATTATGAATCAATTGATTTGGTCGATCCAGTTCGATGGCATAAACACGGCACTACTGGACAGAGATCCTAATAATTCAGAGCTTGGTCTTGTTGCTCTGTTCGCCAGCAGTTTAAGGATATAGAATCCCGCGGCACATTACTCACAAGAGTAATGTGCCGCGGGATGTAACTCGCTCTATATCAGTGTCTCTGTTTTTAAACGCAAACTGAAATTATATTAATTGAGTAATTATGCTGAAAGTATTTGATGTAAAAACTATGTCATCACCAGGGGCGGATCTAGGGGTCACATGGGGCACGTGCCCCCCTCCCCGGCCACAAAAAAAAAAAAAAATTAGTGCTCACAAAAAAAAATATATATAAAGTCCTCTTACCCTCCCCCCCCCCCCCCGCTTATTCAGCGGCTGGCTGAGTCGTTGCGAAATTAACCCCACCCTTGAAAAAATCCTGCGTACGCTACTGATTTCACCCCATGCCATTTTGTGCCCCCCCCCCCCCCCGGTAAGAAATTCGTGGATCCGCCTCTTTTCCAGGCTGGCCCTTACCTTACCTTACCAACATTTCTTCATTTATTCGCAAACTCGTTTTGTTCTGTTTTGCTCTATTGTACTTTTTCCTTTCTCTCTCTCTCTCTCTCTTCTTTTTCTTCCCCATCACCATTTCTCCTACATATACCGGTAACTTTCATCCTTCTCAACTTTTCTGTTGTTGTTTTGTACTGGTTTGCGCTTTCGCTCTCCATCCTTATGTATATATATATATCCATTTTCTCCTTTTCATAATACATCAATCTATCTCTTTTGTAAATATTTCCCATGTGTAATTGCTTTTAGTTTGTTAAGGTAGTTTAGTTGTTAAGTATTTTTTCTTCAAAGAAATTAAATCATTCAGGTATTATATTCTATTTGGGGACCTTACTCTAACAAGCCCAGCTTCTATAAGGTTTCCTCTTTCTTTCATGTACAGAACATGATCTTACATAAGTAACTTTTTTTATAGAATTTCTTTAGTTAACAAGATTTGTATGTTGAACGTTACTATTGCGCTTCAAATTATGTTTGTTATATTGATAATCTGCTGTTCCAGTTACTTTAATTGAAATTCTACTGTATGTACAAAATTGTTTGTGAAAGAAGAAATAAAATGAACTATGAACCATAAACTATGAAAAAACTCTTTTGCCGCATAACGGAGATAGAAGGCGTTGAAGGGCCAAGTAAAAAATTACATCTCACAGAGAGGAAAAACCTCAATCCTGATGGGGTTATAAGAACATTCTCATAACGGAAGACTGAAAAGACTATATAAAAACGCTGCTGAGCAGTGAAATGAGTTTACTAAAAGAAAAATATACAAAGAAAATATCTTTAACGTCACCGTCTTCCTTACGCGCCATGATTGTGGTCGGGCTTCCAATGTTTAAAAAATGACACAGCCTTCTTAACTGATGCTAGATCCTATTTTCCAACGAAACTCCGCCCCTGCCCGAGTCCCCGAGCCCCAAATATAGTGGGAAAAAAAAGAAATTGTGAATAGGAGAGGGATAACGTATAAGAAATTACTATCCGAACCCCTCCAAAATCCTAATCCCAACGTCCTACCAACAATCCTTTTTGTTGTCTTCTTTTTTCCTCTTTCTTTTCGTCTTTCTCTCTCTCTCTCTCCCTCTCTCTCTCTCTCTATCTCTGTCTCTCTCTCTCTTCTTCTTCTTTTTCTTTTTTTTTTTTTGGGGGGGGGGAGGCATTACTAACATGTAATCTAAGGAGACAAACAAAGTAAAACTCTTTATTTAATTTGACGTTACATACAACCCCATAACTCATTGTTATATCCACAGGAAACCATTGACGCATCAGTAAAAGGTAATAGACCTTCCCATGGTGAGCTCTGGTGAATGACTGCAGTCATTCACCAGAGCTCACCATTTTTAAATGACGTTTTAAAAATAATATGGAATTCGCATTTCATGCTTGGACGATTATCATGATTGTCATTGTCTCAAATGTTTAGTTGTTTGCACAACGTCATCATCGTCACAAAGTTGAGCAATTGCATGAAAATAAGGATTTAGATGGTTGGGTCGTTGAGGGACTGCGCAGATAATTTAACGCTTGATCGGCGGAAAAGTAGTGTCACCATTGTAGCCAGGGAAAGGGGGCGACAGCCCCGAACCGGAAATATAACTTGTCGGTATCAAGGGCGTCGACCTTTTATTTTTTATAGATACACTGCGGATAGTACGAATGAGCTTGTCGACCATTTTCAGACAAGCAATCAAAAAAAGTCATCAGATTGTAAAAACAAACAAAAAAGTACTTGTCAGAATTTATTTTTGCCGACAAGACTCCAAAACTTCTGAATTTGCCGACAGGAATCACCCCTCCCCCTTTAACCAATCAGTCCATGCCATGCCACTGCCCATCATTATTTCTTTTTACTTTCCGAGTTGAGAGAATGATTTCAAGGTCTACTCTGTTTTTACGCATATGTTATTAGTAAGACATTGAACTATAATTATGAGCATGATGAGTCAGATTAATTTTTATTTATTTGTTTTTAATTTTAACGAGGGATCACAATACTCGCAAAAGTAATTACCCCGTAAAGTAGTAGGTCCATGATGTTACACAGACCATGAATGAGTGCGTATCCCCTACCAAAGAGCAATATACGTTCCTTGCTCCTATATGTTTACACGCCTGATTTATGTGTTTTGGGTATAATCATTACTGTCATCATAATTACTCGACCATTTCTTCATTTATGGTCCTTACGATGTTCATAATAATGACTTAACCAGATCTATACTGTTTAGTTAAAGGTGTTTATTTGATGGGGGTGGTCATGTGTATGATTCGATAAAGTAAATGCGGGGAACGTGATATGCGTATACGATACAGAGAATGCCTTTTATGGGCATTTAATTTTTCGAACTTGAGAGGGAGAGGGCGCTTTGGTGCTTGATTTCGTGGTATAACGGTGGAACGGATTTTAAACAAATGAAACAGCCAATAAAAAGAAAATCAAAGACTGTAAAGTGGGAGAAATTGTATAAATAGTGAGAGATGGACAGGATGACAGCATCAACACAGCTTCACCAGTCAACAAGCATCTCAACAGTTATCATCAGAAACGAGAACCATCTCTTGACAATTGAAGCTATAGGCCTACTTCTGTACACAGATCGGTGAGTTTTCATGTTTTTTGTATCAGGTAACGCAAGCAAAATTCCGTCCTGATTTGCAAATCAAACAAATAAAGCGTTAGTGAACATTACGAAAAGTAGAAATGATTTTGTCGCCGGAAATGTTTCCATTTTTTCTATAATTATAACAATTTTAGATTTTTTCAAACAGTTTAACGTATATAGGCATATAATGCAATATATTCTGTCAGGTCAGAATTTTTCATTGATGCTTTTTTCATAAGTTATTTAGAATTATGATAGTTTTATCTCCGAACGTGAATTCTCAAAAAGGGGACATGAGGGGAAATAGAGAATAATAATCCGGCTACAAATGCATTTTTTCTTCTTCACATGCTTGTTAATGAGAATATCTGTTGTAAGAGAATATACTAAATAGTGGTAATTTATTTGGGGGTTGTTATATGAGATAAGATTCAACATAATTACTTCGTCAGATTTTACACACAAAAACAGCATTTAATCATCTAATTATCGGAATTATCATTTATCGTATACCAACTGTTGAGGGCGTCACTGAGTGACTTTCTTTTCATTTTGAGAATTATGCTATAATGATTATGATCGTAATTACTTCAACTGAACCGGTGCTTATAACACACAGAAAATTTGAATAAGTATGCACTGATATGTAGTTTTACAAAATGATACAGAATACACGCCATACACGTCACGAGAGACAGTGCATGTTGCAGACCCCGCGGTTGCACATATTTTTTTTTACACAACTGTTTAGCCATTTTCGCGAAAAAATTCCAAGAAGTGCTCTGGTGAAAGAGTCTAAGTCATCAGCGCACTATGTGCAAGTTCGTACACCCAGGGAAGGGAAGATGATAGAAAGGGGAAAACAAGGATAGTGGAGAGGATATGGAAAAGGGAAAACAAGGAAATACATAAGAAAAGAGAAGAGGATAAGTAAAAGGAAGAACATAGAAATACATAATTGAAGAGCTAAGAGGATCATAGATCTATAGACTTAAG